AAACTGACTAGGTCAGTAAATTTGATCAGGTCAGCCTCCCCTGGTGGCATGTGGGGTTGACTTTGTTCCCCTCAGAAAGTGACTGGATGGGACTCCTTTCGGACCCCCTGGCCATATTCCCTTAAAGGAACCTCTTCCATGAAAGCTGTTGGTTCCAAACCTTTGAGCGGCCTCGGTAGGCCTTCTGTTGTTTGGAGGCCACTTTGAGGCTTATAGCTTGGGCAGTGACCGTAGGGAATAATGTCACTGACAGCCTGTGTGTGACCCGAAGGGGGAGTGTGTTCTTGGTATTTCATGTTGAAACTGCCAGTTCTGATGTTTTTGTCACAAGCCATAATTGGCATGCACTCGCCTTAGCACGGTGGGATTGTACTTTGTTCCCCAATAGCGTCATCAACGCAGTGCGAGTTCCCTTTCGAAAGGGAACGTCTAGGTTACGACTGTAACCTCTGTTCCCTGAGAACAGAGAACGAGACACTGCGTTGTTAGCCATGCCTCGGGGATGCCTGCTGAACAGTCCCTTCAGACGAAAGTGGATGCCATGTTCTCTAGGCGCCCCTTTTATATTTACAGGTCACGCTAGTGACGTCATAGGTTGTCGCCGGTCAATTTCGATTGCCGTGATTGGATAGTTTTTCAGACACCTGTTCACGTGGAGGGCGTTCCCCAATTGCGTCATCGACGCAGTGTCTCGTTCCCTGTTCTCATGGAACAGAGGTTATAGTCATAACCTAGACGTTTTTACAGCTCTGAAAAGACACACAACACAACACTTCTGGTCTATCTTTGTTTGCAAATCTTCTTTCAGCTCATGTTCCACATTCTGGATTTCATAATTTTTCAAAAGTCTCATAAAAAAAAATCTCAGCCTCTCTTTTCGGTTCAGTCAAGCGATTCTTTAACAATCCCAACATCGTCTGCATGTGCTCGACGCCGGTCGACAAAGTCCTGCTGCTCAGCCCCTTTAAAACAAGCAGAAAACAGCTAGATTGACTGAAACCAAGCTCATTTATATTGAATGAGGGCAGCGGGTGAGTTCTCAGCACAAGTGAATAAGCATTCCTTTCATGTACGCCTCCCCACCGTGGCTTTCTTTCCCCCTGCACCTCAGATAGCTCACTTAGGCTTGATGAGTAGAAACACAGGCAGTTAATTGCAGTGCGTTCACCATCATGGCGATAGCGATGGCAACAATACAGTGGCTGTAAATAAAACCACTCTGCCATTTCTCCTCACAGATGTCTATAATTTTAACCTAATCTATTGGCAGTTTTTTGAGTTTTTATTGTTGTTGTTGTTAGTTTACTCCCCTACTTCCAGGGCTGCTTGACATGCACAGACCGTGATGATTGGATGAGAGGTTTGGCTCCGGCTTTGTACATTGGCATTGGTCTCACGTTCTACCCTGCAAGTGTCCTCTCTCTGGATGAGCTTTACTGCCTGGGTCTCTGAATCCCGGCCAGGATATTTCTCAATTCCTGTCTATCTTACCCTCTTAGCTCTCCACCTCTCCTTCTCTCTGCTTTTCAACACTCTCTGTCTCTTATTTGCTCATTCTCTCCCCTCTGTTGCATACGTCCTCTTTGGATTGCTGAAATGCCGGCGATGTTGCACAATAGTCTGGCTCGCTCTGGCATTCAGTTCTTTAAAATAACCTCAATGGGACTGAAACTCCAGCTCCTTCACAGTCTTTCTCAGTTTCACCCCCTCTGTATTCTCTCTTACTGTGCTCTAAAAATGTAGATGGATTGTTAATCAGAGAGTAATAAAAAGCCGATTAGCACTAAATCACACCGAGGCAAGGAGGGATTTGCCTAGCCAGGTCCTGCCACTCTGCAGTGTGTGTAAGTGTGTGTGTATGCTGAGAGGGACAGAGCGCTCGCTGCCAGGAATATAACATTCTGTAATTACAGAAATGTGCCGTGAATTTCTCAGCTGAGGCCTGTTCTTATTGGCGTTGTGGGCGTATGATGTTAGAATATGTCCAAGGCTGAATTTATGGTGTTGGAATATTCACAATAGCTCATGATTTCATGAGTCATCAAACACAGAGGTCAGCTGAGGTGATCTCTTGTATTTTCACTCATAGGGCCTTGAACATCAGTTTAAAAAAACAATTACATTCAATGTTGCCATATGAAATTACATCTCTGAAAACTCTTTAAAAAAACTGAATTATAATGCCACTCAGAGGCCTCTGCAAACTTCCAAAGGGTCAGCAAGATGGATTAACAAAGCAAAGCAAAGAAAAAAAACAAAACAAAAAAACAAATTAAAATGCCACTCGGGGGCCTCTGCAAATGTACTCACTGACAAGGCCGATGATAACCAAATGGCCAAATTTTAGCTAATTAATTGGCCTGACTGATACATCAGTCTTTACTGTAGATTATACTATATGTTTAAATAATAATAAAATAGAATAAATAAAAATAACAAAATTGTGTAAAATACATAGTGATATACAAATCCCACAACAGAGTATCCTTACTTCAAGACTAAAAAGAGAAATCACATGCCTCAAAGACACAGCATATTTCATGTCTCTCTTTTAACACTGTTGTCACGTTTCAGTGAAGAGGCATGAAAAAAAAATCTGATAGATGTGCATGATAATCAGGGGCTTTTATTGAAGAAGGGGCTTCTCCTGAAGGGCCCCGGAGGGCCCGGTGGGCGTAAGTGCTTTTGTTTCGGAGTATAAAGTCGAATGTTTTGCCAAGAGCATTTGGGTCTCATAGGAACAGGTGGAGAATTGAGGTGTCCATGATAATGAGAGAAGAGGGCCAGGTCGGAGTGCAAGGGGAGGGTCCTGTGAACCTGTTCGAGATTTGATTGGCAGCTCAAACTCACCATCTTAATAAATTGACAGCTTAGTGACAAGTAGAAGCTAGTGAAGAACAAGAAGAAAGACCTAACATTATGACTTATATTAAATATGAAAGAGAAACGGAATTAATTTTTCAAACACCTTCAACAACATATCATCCTTAAGGGTGGCTGTGAGGGGAAATTTAAGAAAAGACACAGAATTTCAATTTGGCCTGTAATAATTTGATACCTTGTGTTGTGTTTTCCAGGGAATTCAAACTGTCATGGAAAATGATTAGAAATAAGCAGTTCAAAATGATGTTGTTATTATTCTCCATTACTCTAAAAGATGTGCATACTTCTGAGCAGCATGCAGACGAGAATCACTGCTTTCTCAGTTTAATGTGAAAACAAGTCAACTTCTATGGCCCAGCTAGAGGCAGACATGTCTATCTCTCTGCTTTCGTTTTCAGAAAGATCCTTGCTTGTGCCTTTATTTACAGGCGAAAGGGTGAGATCTGAATTAGAGTGGCAAGGCCTGCTGGTGTGGTGTTTTGCCACTCTGGAATGAAAATGAGAGATAATACCTGTGAAATATCCTGTTTGGGTGCTCTAGATCTCCCACTGAATGCTGTGTCGGAGGCTACAGGAAAAAGGATTTGAGAAGTGTGTATGCTTGTGTGTCATTGTGTGTGTCATTCAAGTGTCTGTGCTTCATAAAATTGTTGCCATCCATCCATCCGTCACATCATATGGACTTTAAAACCTTGTGAAAATAGTGTAGTTTACTTGCAATTGCAGACAAGTATTTACAAACGTTACTCATCTATGCTTAAAACTAAATTTCAGCATTTCAGAGACTAAATATTGACTCAAGTAGATTTTCTTTTTTTTACTGTAAAACAAAATACTGATTAAGAAAAAGCTTTTTGAAACAATGTGTGTGCGTTTACACTTGTGCGACTGCACATGAAGCTTGATGGTCTCTGCAGTTGCGATCTTCCTTCCCGAGCATTATGTGAGACTGCGAGGTCAATACATGTGATCCCTACTGCTGTTTATAGTGTGACAGTCAATTTACTTCCTGCTGGGTAGGGGTGTTTGTTTCTGTGCGTGTGCACACAGCATACACTGTCCCACTTTCCAGGCAAAGCAAGGAGGCAGTGTATCCTGTTACCTGAAAAACTCTGATGGAGTTATTACACACGTGCAGATACTGTATCTGCGCACAGATAAGTGCAGCTAGTCTTGCAGCAGACAAAACCTTCCTTTTTCTCCTCACCATCTAATAGTTTGTACCAGCTTTTGGTCTGACATGTATGTTTTGGTGAGGAGCAGAGTAGATATGACAAAGTATTTCTGGGTCTTGCTTTTCTGCCTGAAGCTGAGCCTCAGGTATCAGGGGTGACTTGGGGAACACGTCTGTTCCTCAGCGGGCCTATAAAACACTAAAGCAGATGTTCAGAAAGGGAAGGCTAAAGATGACGCTTTCTGAATGGGGAGCAGGGAAAATGCAACTGAGGGCCCAAAGCTTGAAAAGCTTGGCTAGGGGCTCAGTGAGTGAAAATACCAGAACGTACTGGATAGTGAGGAAAAGTCTCTTAATCAGGTCAATGATTCAGATTTACTTACAGTGTAACTTTTTTAGGCCTTTATGGGACCAGTTTACAGTACACAGGACACAGAACCACTAGATGGAGCGCAACAGAATTAAACAAAAGTCATTAGCATATACAGTATGCTAATTAATACTCAACACACCTGAGATGGTAATCCCACTTACACATTTTGTCCAATTGGTCTTAAAAAAAAAAAAAAGATGCGCTGATCTGAGTGTCAAATGTTGATATAATCTTAACATGACAAGACATCTTAAAAATGTAACACTTATGATGCAAGACACTGAAAATACTGTGAAATGCATCGACAAAGACACTCTTCTGATGCACACATAAGAAAGTTCATAATTCAGAAGGAACCAGGAATTGCTCTTTATATTAATGTTGAAAGCCATTAGGAAATAAACGAGAAGTCATATTGGCCACATTAGCACCAGAGTCCAATGCGCTATGGCTCAGACAATATGCATCAACATTTTAAACAACGATTAATCTGTCACTGACAAGATTTGGCACCTCCAGTGATCAGATCATAAATATTCTATGTTTTGAAAATCAATTAATGACTCTTACCGGACCGTCGATTGATACACCAGATCTTCCCGTCTGCGGTAATCCTCCATATGGGAGTAATTGGTATTGAACATAGCATCGTACGTAAAAATCTTCTGCTTAATTGTACCTCCGTCAGTAACCTGTAAAGAAATAAGAATAAAACATTAATAAAAAGATGTGTCTTATAATGAAGTGGATATTCCATAGACCCCAATACATAAATAATGCAATGAGACAAGAGCAAGTACAAGAGCTCGATGCCCACAGGCAAAGTTAGTTCTCACACTTTAAAACGATCCCATTGATCCATTCAGAGTTATTATTGGTATATTATTAAAGAGCTTGTGAAGAGATGAATTTAAATGAGCGCTCAGAAACATGCCGAGCATGATGAACTCAGCAAGACACTTACATATATGGCATTAGGAATTAAGTGCACTATAAGAGAGCGATTTAATGATGACTGACGTTTTTGCTGCATTTTGTTGGTCTGCGGCACAGGAAAGGTAATGAAATGTGAAGAGATATTGCAGAGGTGAGGGATATTCGCAGCACCATTGGCTCATTTTGCGTCTTTTTCCCCTCCCTGACGTTCTTGGCAAATGATGGAGCGCTGCTCTTTTTGCGCTAATATCCACAGGGGAGAGAAAGTCGCTTAGCATTTGAATGACTGCGATTTCTCTTCAGAGCACAGAGAGAAGAAGGAGAAAGAGGGGTGAGAGATTTTAATGGAAGTGTTAATGCCTGCTTTTGAAGCAGTGGAATTGTTGGTGGGACAGGTGTCTTTCTTTCGGCGAACACTTGAGATGCTATCTATGGCCTCTTAATCTGGTCCCCAGGCGCTGTAAATCAGGCCTAGGTGGATTTGCGATTGGTTTTCCTCAGTGTGGAGAACAACAGGGCCACAGGGACAATGTTAAATTGGTTTGATTTGAACAAACAATTCACGCTGCCCTCACAAATGAGTGTAGGACAGCCACAATAACCTCTAGTCCTCTAGAGATTCACACTAAATGCCTGCAGCCACTACAACACACAATGATTCATAATTGGTTGAATTCTCTTTTAGAAAGGAATTATGGGCACAATGAATACAGGGGACAAACAATTCAAGCGTTTAGGATAATGTTTACATAATGCATATCTAAAACTCACAATAACAGCAAGCTATTCCAGAGCAATTTTAACATGATTATATTTAATACACCTGAAACAAGAGTCTTTATAAGTGTAAAATTGTATGGGTTAAGAATGTTTTCTAGCCCTTCCATCTCTTCCTCATAATGCAGATACAGCGTGAATGTTGATACATGTTGAAGTACCAGCATTTTTTTCTTTGCTGCAATGTATATATTTTTTTATTTGAAAAAAAAAAGAGAGAAAAAGAGATAAAACATTTGCCGTTAATTTATGCACACTTAACCCATTTTGTATATTCCTCTGGGAACAAATATGATGACTATGATGAAACAAACTGTACTTAACAAAAAACTGCTGAGCACTTAGCAACTAATGAATGGTGAATATATATTTTCAGAATGAAACCTGTATTGCCAATCAAGAGTCTCAGAAACAGGTCAGCGAAGTCCTCATTTTGTCAACCACTTGTGAAGCCACTTAAAACACATCCAAGAAATGTTTCAGCATTGCACTCTGAGCACGAAGATCACTCTGACCATCTTGCAAGCATCCGACGATGCGGCTGCTACAAGTCCCGCTACATTTTGCTACAGGTTCATAGGGAAGTGGTGACATTGAAAGGTCAGTCGCTAAAAGCAAACCTGTGTTTGATAGTTGTGTTTTCCCCTCAGGTTGATCCTGGTTGCTTTTGTAGTTGACTCCAATAATGCTTTCAAATTCCGTTAAAAGGTGAGATGCAAGAATGTTTCTGTCTGACATGTCTCAGAAAACGTAAAGTGCTCCCAGTAGCTGAATACAGATTCCTTTGGTGGTTTCGGCTCTTGACTCAAATTGTTGCAGCATTGTTATGGACAGCTTGAGATGCTTCTACCTGTTTTTCTTCAAGTGCAATCCAGCCACCATTCAAGATTTATGAAAAACTGATTTCCGCCATACATTGTACAACCATAATGTGAAATCACCAGTATCTTGTTTCATAAATCACAGTGAATTGCATTAGAGGACTTTTATTTTTATTTAATTTTTTACTGAAACTGTTTTTTACCCCTAATGGAGTATGGAGCAAAAATCTATAATTGTGGAGAAACACAATGTGAAGGGTTTGCTCTGTTTACATGCATTATGAAATTAGAGGGTGCTTGTGTGTTATTCAAGCACATATGAAAATATTCGATAAGCAGCGAGCGTATGCTAAAAACGCAGAGTACATGATTAGTGGGAGAGGCAGAGTAAAGGTTCTGACATTCTCTCCAATAAATAGAAACATGAAATGGGCCTTTAGAAAAAAAAATAGACACTGTCACCCACTTTGTCATCATGACAAGAGAAGAGGACAGTAATGAGAACATCAAGCGCATAGTGGGAAACACAAGGTGCCACTGTACAATGGAATTTAATAAAAGGAAAAAATGAAGTGAACAAATGAATGAGTATGATGGGAATTCTCTTCTCATACAGATGATAGAACATCCCATAACCCTTTCAGATCATGGTTTCATGTGGTCTTTCTCCGTTTACTCAATACTTCATAATATATTTTAAATGTTATTATACATATCACTGTAAATACATACAATTATCCAAAATTATATATACACTACCGTTCAAAAGTTTGGGGTCAGTGAGAATTTTATTTTTATTTTTTGTAGGAAAGAAATCAATACTTTTATTTATCAAGGAATAATTAATTTGATCGAAAGTGACAGTAAAGACATTTATAATGTTACAAAAGTCTTTTGAACTTCCTATTCATCAACTGACAGACCAACAACTGTTTCAACATTGGTAATAATAATAAATGTTTCTTGAGCATCAAATCCTCATATTTTACTGATTTGTGAAGGATCATTTGACACTGAAGACACTGACACTGGTGATGCTAAAAATTCAGCTTTGATCACAGGAATAAATTACACTTTACTATATATTCACACAGAAAACAGCTGATTTACACTGGAATAATATTTAATACTATAACTGATTTTTGTTGTATTTTTAATCAAATAAGCGCAGCCATGGTTAGCAGAAGAGAATTCTTTTAAAAGTATTTAAAATCGTACCGACCCCAAACTTTTGAACGGTAGTGTATATATATTAAAACATTTCTAAACATTTTTACCAGAGTTTTTCTATATTTTGTTGTGGGTGTTTTCAGAATTAAAAGTGTCAAAGCAGCTATAATTAGGTTTATTTTAGAAAATTACATTAATTGGAAAACAACAACATCATCATCTATTTTCTATTTATGTCTGAAATATTTCCTTTTAATTATTTTCTATAATATCATGATTTGGCAAAATATGGCCAAAATGTATTTAAAGATATTTTTTATTTATACATAAATACATTTATTTAAATATATTAGCAACATATTCATATATTTAAATATATAGTATATTATATTAAAAACAGAAAATCAGGAAAAATATGAAAACAAAACAATTCTAAATAAATTTTCCTAATACATAGAGTGTATGCATTTTGTATATATTGCCATTTATTCTTGTAGGCCATTTATTTAAAATGCACTATTGAAGAAGGCCATGCATATCGCTGTGGTGATGAAGGAAATGAGACATTCAGCTGGCATGGCACACACATGTGGGCCTATAATGATTTTACCTCCTAATCAAAATGGACCTGAACTCCCATGTGAAAGAATATCCATCATGGATGACTGTCCGCCCTGTTGTCTTGACGACTACCTCTGCTATGAGAATGTGGAAAGAGACAGGAAACCAGATAAATGTGCTTTTATTAAGGAAAAAGGCCACATGGGGGAAACGCACATCCAGCTCAGGGTAGTTTATTGAATCTGTTCCACATATTACCGCCAAGACACTGGAGTACAACAGAGTCTACCATCTGGAGAGGAGGAAGAGGATCTTGGTGGGCGAGAACCATCTCCACCTTCTAAGTCTGTCTATGTACACAACAAACCTTGCTGCCCGTAACAGCAGGATACCTTGGATCAGTGGTGTCCAGTGATGTTCTGAAATGAGGAGGCAAAGTCCTCACTGATTATTATTATTTTAAAAAAACAATGCAAATTTATGTTCCACCACTTAAATTTGACATATACAGTACATTACTTACTGTAAAACAATACAATTATACGATTTTGCATTTTGACATTAACAATATAATTAATGTTCATTTTATAAAAAAAAAAAAAACAAGTATATTTCTCATCAAGGTTGTGCCTTTTACCATTTATTCCAAATTAGTAACTAGAAGAACGCAGTAACACATTTCAGATCTATATTTTCTTTGGGCAACACTTTAGTTTAGGGTCTAATTCTTACTATTAAAGTTGCTTATTAGCATACATATTACCACGATATTGGCTCATTAGTAGCCTACATATTAATGCCTTATTCTGCAATACCTAAACTTAACAACTAACTTAATAACTATTAAAAAGCAGAAATTAGAAGTTTATTGAGGCAAAAGTCATAGTTAATAGCTAGTTAATAGTGGGGAATTGGACTAAAGTGTGACCTTTATTTGTGAACTTATGTTCAGCTGTTCTTTTTAATAGTGAACTTATTTTCAGATCATCAGTCATCAAAACTGGGTAAACACTGCACTGATAGTCACAGACAGAAATTACCTGCAATTTCACAAAGCTGATTGCTCACTAAAAACCTTAAATGATTGTGCTTTCAAGACATTTCAGATTTGATTTTGACATGACAATGCAGTGATATCTAAGTTATATCTAAGTGGATGAGTTGTTACTCAGTTATTTGTAATTTGTCTTCCCATTGACAACATTATTTGTTAATTCTGATTTATTCGTGGACATGGAACGTGCACAAAACTATATAGATCAGACAAAAAGATCAGACTGAACAAACAAACAAACAAAACTATTATTTAAAATATGATAATATAAGAGTGAATAAATTCCAATATTTAAAAAAAAGATTTATAAAATAATTAAAAAACATTAAAGGCATAAAACATATTAAAAAATCCCACAGACCCCAAACTTTTG